CCCCCCCCCTGCAGCCTTAGTTGTTTCAAAAATCAATATAAACATCCATTGAACTTGAACTTACTGTAACAGAGTTCAGACTCTTCAGAGTGTTCAGAGGATTATCCATGGTCACTCACACAAGAAATCAAATGCCAGTCTACCGGTATGAAATCACATCAAAAACACTTTCCATTTTAACACCACTCCAGCCACTCTAGCACCCCATGTCGGCTTCTCCCTCCATCCTTTTCTGCATTTCGCTCCTATTCAGAACCCTCAAGCACTCATTTATTTTCGTAATTGGCCTACTGTATTCTCAATGAGTCTCAAGCTCACCCATTCGTACCTTTGTTATAGATGAGAAGTTGTCATCAAGAATGACAACGTCCGAACTCTCCTTTGCCACCTCAGTTCCAGAGATGCCCATTGCCAACCCAATTGATGCCTGAGGACGATGAGGTCAAAAGGACACAAGTGATGGGAGGGTGTAGGCAGGAGAGAAAGGGTATGGTGGGAGGAAGTGAGGGGATCCACAGAGAAACATACACTGTATCTAAGCATGTTCTTTGAACTTCTTTCCTTCCTGAAGTCTTTTGCACTGGAGAGACCTCCTTGCTACTCATTTAGCAAGGATTTGAAAGCTGATAACAATATGGTAAGCCACAGAGGTTATGCCAGAGTCCTGATCATCTGCAATAGCAGAACTTGAGTACACCAACATCTGTCAGTTCCCTCTGCGAAGCTGAACCCTTCTGATAGGACAACAAAAGGGCCAAATCATCCCTGTGGATCCATTTATGATAACTGTGGTATTTTCCATTGTTGGACCGCTGGTGATGTGATAAACCCCAGCCTCATACAAAGTTTTTCTTCTCTTTTTTTTTTTTTTTTGAACTTCGATGCAGGGGGTTTAACTTAACAAGGTGGTATGAGCAAGTGGTCCCTTGAGATGAAGGCTCCATGTATTGGTAGGGAGCAGTACCTGCTGGAAACCACGTCCAGCGTCCCATTTAGATACAACGAGGATAAAAAGATTGGTCGTGGCCCTACAGACGTTTACTGAATTACTCTGAGCTCAACATAATGGGTACCACCAATTGCCTATCCGTTCCTGTTCAGCACCTCTGTCCCTGTCATTCTTTTCCATGTCTCTCCCTCTTTACCCTGGGGCAGGGTGGATCTCCTTTTTACTAGTGGCAGTAGTGAGAATCTATCTCCCCATGTTCGAGTGGAAGATTCATTCCATTCTGGACAGGAGGAGTAGGTGGAGGAGGGGTGGGATGACAAACAGGAGGAGGGGAAGGAGGAGGACGTGGAGGACGACTAACAGTAAGACAAAAAATAATGGCTGTGTATTTCACCATGTTCCAGCGGAAGATTCACTCCATTTTGCACAGGAGGAGGAGCGCGAGGAGGAGGGGCGGGATAACAAGCGGGAGGAGGGGAAGGAGGAGGACTGGGAGGACGACGAACAGGGAGACAAAAGAATATGGCTGTGTATCTCCCCATGTTCGAGCGGAAGATTCATTCCATTTTGCACGGGAGGAGTGGGAGGAGGAGAGGTCGGATGACGAGCAGGAGGAGGGGACGGGGGAGGACAGGGAGGACGTCGAACAGGAGGAGAACAAGTGGCATGAGGACTGCAAGCAGGAAGGGGAAGACGACGAGTGGGAGGAGATGGACGACGAACGGAAGGAAGAGTGGCAGGAGGAGTGCTATGAGGAGGGGCGGTATGACGAGGGGAGGAGAGGGGAAGGAGGAGGGGGACCACGATGAAGCAAGAGGAGGAATGCAAGGAGGAGGAGGAAGACAATGAGCGGGAGAAGGCGGACGGCGAACGGGAAGAGTGGCAGGAGGAGGAGCGCGAGGAGGAGGGGGAAGACGACGGGTGGGAGGAGCAACCGGAGGAGGAGTGGGAGCAAGACGAGTAGGAGGAGGAAAGGGAGGAGGAGGGGCAGACGTAGGGCGTTTTTTCCCCCTTTTTTCTTAGAGAGATGGGGGGCAGGAAGAGGTGTCCTTTCCATGCCCTTCACTACACACTATCCTCCTCGTCCTCTTCCTGCCCTCCTCCCCTCCATTTCCCTCTTCGCCTCTCCTCCATCGTCTTCTCTCATCCCTCTGTCAGGCCACGCACGCCGCCGTGGGTCCGCTTGTTTTTTAAAAGCTGTCTTCTCCTCATATGGGGGACAGCTGTATTCAGTACACTATTTTCTTCTCTCAATATTTTTTCCACCTCACACTAGCTACCTACATACCTCGCGTTATCTTACCTTAGTATCTAGCACGGCGGAATTCCACATCTATGTGCTGAATGGTGACATCATCTATCCACTTTACTCTCTAACCCTCAACGACCTGCTAGGTGGCCCAAGCCTATGTTTACCCACTCTACACCTCACACTAACTGCCACTAGGCGTGACAGTCTTCCTAGCCAACATCCCCACACTCTCATTTTTCGCAGCACAAAAGAACTGAGTACTACCACCTCTACGTCCCTGTTATGAATTGAGGGGGACCCTGGGACGTATATATTAATTGGAAAGGAAATGAACACAGCGAGGCAATCCGAGCCTGGTTGTCTATGGGAGAATTGGGAAGCCCTGAGAGGTGTCGTTTCCTGAATCAAGACTCCTAATCTCCTGATTTCCATGTGAAATCTTTTCAACAGGTCCTCACAACTCTCAGGGGTGCTTTTGAGAATTGTCTATAAGTTTTCATCTTGGTGGTGGCATCCTTTGAGGTGGGTGCTGAGTTCATGTTCTTCCAACCCTTTCATTTCCTCGTCCCAGATGTGGCTTACCTTCTGAACCCCATGGTTGATCCAGGATCTCCATCTCCTGTCCCTTGGCTTCAATGACAGAAGGTACATTAAACCCTTCTTATTAAACCACCAGTACTTCCAAGGCACTTTCCTCTGAGGTTGGAAATGTTCTGCGCGCCAAAAAAAACAAAATGGTGCGGGCCTCCTTTCGGCTGGTGCCGCTAGCCATTTTGCTCCAGAGGCCGAGCCCCGAAAGTTGCGGCTGCATGCAAACCGCGACTTCAAAAAAATGCTGGGAAACGTAGTGATGGTAAACAAACAAACAAATGCCTTTGCGACATGCCGCTAAAATTGGGACGATACAGAGAAGATTGGCATGCCCCCTGCGCAAGGATGACACACACGATCGAGAAATGGTCCAACACACACACACACACACACACACACGCTGTCACACACACACACACACACACAAACAAACAAACAAACAAACAGGTCCTTATTGGCCCAACTCCATATCCATTCTGGTCTTTTTTTATGGGGAGCATCAGTCCGTGTTGCATACCGTATAGGTGCAGACCAGAACAAGAACCGACCTTTCAATACAAAGTATAAGATAGCACAGCGGAAGACTTAGATACCAATGATCCGAACAATCAATATTGTAATGCAGCCCCAAACATACATCATCATCATCATTCCATGGTGTGAAGGGGTCTGGCGCTTCACACAGGAAGACTGCGCCAGCCCCAACCATACACAGACGAAGGAGATGGGGGTTAGACGAAGAAGAGGGGAAGATGGGAATGTCGTCAACACCAAGGGTTCAGCACAGGCCCAAATAGTCCCTCGTCGAAATGTCTGAATCCCAAGGTCGAGTCTGGATCCAATGTCGTCAAGTCTCAAGTCACAACTCTCTCTCTCTCTGTAGTAGTCTGCTGATACTGAGAAGTCAGGTGGT